TGCCAAAAGGTCAAGAATAAACAGTCTCCTTCTCTCTTTTCTGCCTCTTAGTCATTTTTTGGTATCCTTCCAGGGACATTTTATGCATCTGCAAGTAGGATATATTCCTATTTATTTCCTACCCCCTACTCCCTTTTCTGTAAATGCTAACATCACTTACAGTCCTTCCCATGCCTCACTCTTCACAACACAGACTGCTCCGCAGCTGCCCACAGGGCGTCCTGGTTCTCTTCTGGGTACCATTCCACTGTGCAGCCAGAGCAAATTCAGCTCACCAGCCCCCACACTGACAGATACTCTTTTGCTATTAGACACAGTGCTCAGAAAGTTTGTGTGAATTTGCCTGAAGGATAAATTTCTATAAGTGAACTGAATCAAGCAAGGCAATGTGAACAATTAACTCTGACAGGTTCTGGCAGATGCCCTCTGCAGGGAACTAATACACATTCACAGAGTGTTTATGTATGAGTTCTGTTTTCCCACATCCTCCCTAACATGGATGGTTATCAAAATTTTTTACTTTTGCCAGCCCCACGAAGGTGAAGTGTAGCATGTTTCAATGCATTTCAATTGGTATTTTTAAAATTATGTGTGAGGTCAAGCATTCTTCATGTGTTTAGGAGTCATTAAATTACTTTATATGGATTTTTTGTTCATATCCGACAATTTTCCTACACCGGTCTGTTCTTTTCCTTATTAATTTGTATTAATTTTGTATACATAATTCTTTATGTATTAGGGAAATTAACCCTTAATGCATAACATGAAACACATATTTTTCCATTATGTAATCTGTCTTTAGTTTTGCTTACAGAGGTTTTGCTATGCTGTTTTTAAGTAATGAATTGTATCAATTTTTTCCTTATGGCTTCTAAGTTTTGCAGCACACTTAGAAAGCCCATTCCTACTGAAAAGTTATAAAAATATTCTCCTTTGGATTATTCTAGAGATCAGTCACCTATGAGCAGTGAAAAGTTCTTTTCTATAGTCATGGATTTACACCCTGGCTATCATGTGCTTCTGGCCATACCATATGCAAACAAATTTTAATTTTATAAGGTAATTTTATTTTCTGATACTCTGCCATTTATAAAAAGCACTGTCCCACGACAGTCAGTGAGACAGGCAGTGCAAGACTTATCTGTCTTGTTTTATAGAAGATAGCTTCCCAAGCCAACACCCAGAGAGGTTAATCTCCCATCCACACAGTGTGGTCCAGACTCACACCGAGGACTCGGGAAGCTCTTCTCTCCTCTCCCCTCCACTGCCTCTCTTTAGAAAAGGACGTCTATACTCACTAAAATCTTAAAAGACATCGCCAAAGGCATTTCTAAATAACTTCAAAAGAATGTGAACAACTTTTCTATTCAAAAGACAGCACTGGACTTCCCCAGAGGCGCAGTGGGTAAGAATCTGCCTGCCAACTCAGGGGATACATGTTCGACATGCCAGGAGCGAGGACGCTCGTGAGCCACCGCTATGGAGCCTGTGCTCCAGAGCCCGTGAGCGGCAACGACCGAGCCCAGGTGCTGCAAGTACTGAAGCCCACACACCTAGAAGCCTGTGCACTGCGACGAAGAGAAGCCCCCACTCGCCACAACTAGAGGAAGCCCACACAAAGCAAAGAAGACCCCGCACAGCCAAAATATAAAATAAAAATTTTTTTAAGGCCTTGAATGCCATGCCAAGGACTTAAAAAAACCCACAGTATTATTTAAATGGGCCACACAGTGATCCAATTCAACAGTGACTCATCCTCAAATGCCCGTGCCAGTGTTATCAAGAACAGGCAGAATTCCGTGTTCCTACAGTGTGCCTATATAACCCTGCAAAATTTAATGAAAATTAAGAGATGTAAATGTCCCCAGATCCCAAGGCTTCTGAGTGGATCATCAAAGCAGCGCTTCTCATTTTGTGGTGAGTTATATTTAAGCTATGGAGGGCTCTTTTCAAATGATACATATCCCAGCCTTCTCATCACCCATCCCCACCAAGGGTATCCCCTCCAGGAGCATATCACTTGCCCCCTCAAGTGTACTGACGGTAGAAAACTTTTGAAAACCACTGTCCAGAGCACAGGGTCTGTATCTGCACAGTTCCTATCTACCACACGGCCTTGGTTCTCCCACCAGCCTGGACTCTTCTGCCACAGTGTCCAGCTGCCCTAATCAGGTCAGTTCTGAAATCCCCCCCTCAGGTCCTTCGTACCTTTTGTTTCCTCTGACACCCCCCTCACCACCTTCCCTCCCCAACCCACCAAGACGGCTCCTTCCCACCCTGCAGGCATTGGTTTAAACGCTACCTCCTCAGGAGCCTTTCCTGACCGCCTACTAAAGCAAATTCCCCCCAGTAACGTCCATCCTTTTATTTTCTCCTTAGAACGTGTCAGTCTGTATTATTTTTATCTATTAATTTATTTCCTTGTTTATTGTCTGTCCTCTCCAAAGTCCCACAAGGGCAGGGACCTTGTCCATGTCATTTACACTTTATAAGCCTAGCATGGAGCGACGTTTCTGGCATATAAGTGCCCGTTAAAATATGGGTCAGTTACACTTGACTGAATTAGTCCTAGCTAATTCTCTCCATTTCTGCATCACCATCAAGTTCTTAAGCAGCCCCAACCACATGGGCGGGGAGGATGGACATTGGACAACTTGCCCAGCCCCTCCCGTTGGCCATCTCTGCTCATGGTTACTCAATCATTTTGGGAAAAAAGAAAGCAATTTAGCAAGCAACAGTCTAGGGTGGAATGCCTTGAAGACCACACGCCTTCCTCCATTGTTTTCTCTTTTTCCTTCTGGTCTAATTCACTGGACTGTGGCAGATGAGACAGGAGAATGGTGTTAAAGTCACACTATTCATCATCAAAAACAGCAACCCAACTAAAAATAACTGACCGTTAATGATGGGGCCAGACACTGTGTGAAGAACGCAATATGAATCATCTCATCTAACACTCAAGATAGCCCCCAGGCAAGTCTCACTAACCTCAAGTTTACAAATAATGAAAAAGTGTGCAAGGTCATAGAGCTAGTAAGTGAAGGAGCCAGGACCCAAACCCAGCTAGCCAGACCCAGGAAAGCCTCGTCCTCCCCACACAGTATCCCCTACATCTAACACAGCATCCAAGTTACATATTTAGAAATAAATGCTAAAAAGAGAGCAATGAGAGGAGAATACTAACCAATAAATAGACTTACTTATGTGTCAAATGCTTCAGGGATGTGGAGATTGGGGGCAGGGTTCTGTCTGTACATGAACTGGCAAAGTTCACAGCCATACTTCTAGAAATGATTTTTTTCATTCCCAGAAAGGAAGTAATATTGAGACAAGTGTAGTGTCTTCCTCTGAAAGACCTCTTCTAGGGTCATTAACTATAAAAGAGGACCCCTGAGAATAACTACAGGGCAGCAACGATCCAATTCAATGAGCAATTACTGAAACCCACTATGTGAGAGTTCTAGGTTTGGTCCTGACAAGGGCTGTTTTTAATGGTTAAGGCACACGCCCTGAGTTCTAAGATGTAAAGATGTCCAGATACAGACGTGAAACAGTCTACTTGTAATGCAAACTTCACCCTATGTGCCAAAAGAAATAGCACTGGTAACAGGGTTACAGGAAGGAGGAGAATGCAAAGGGAGAAGCTTCATGAAGGATAGTAGGACCTGACGAGGCCTCAACACTTGCCTCAGGACAAGCAGGGAAAACAGGACCAGCCTGGGGGGATTAAGAAGTAGCACCACTTGGGAATTCCCTAGTGGTCCAGTGGTTAGGACTCCATGCTTCCATTGCAGGGAGCACAGGTTCAATCCCTGGTCGGGGAACTACAATCCTACCAACTGTGATGTGTGGCCAAAAAAAATAGAAGCAACAGCATCACTTTCAGTAGACCTAAGTGTTCAGCACCCCCAGCAGTGGAGGGCCTGCATTGACAGAATATCATGAGGAGGTGAGCTGGGAAGAGCTCTAATGGGCATCCTAGGATGGGGAAGTCCTGAATGATGAGAGCAGGAACGCTGACCTCTCTTAGAAGGCAGGGATGTAGTACTCGGAAGCCTGCCATGATGGTGATGACTTATCTGGGGATGGGGTGGAGGATGGATTGATAGGCTGTGAGCTTCATCAGAGAGCTACTGGAATGTACCAACCAACAGAAGAGATCATGGACTCAAGGTGGGCAGGAGATGGCCAGGCACATTTGAAAATAACAAGAAGCAGAACCCTGAGGATTTGTTGGGGAGGGGTGAAATCATTTTGTGTGATACTACAATGGTGGACACATCATACACTTGTCAAAACCCGGAGTATACCACACTAAGAATTAAGTGAACCTCAATGGAAAGTAGAGTTTGGGTGACAATGTGTCAATACAGGTTCATGGACTATAATGACATACATACCACTCTGATGCCAAGGCTGATAACAGGAGAGGGGAGGCAGGTAATACATAGGGTATCTCTGTACTTTCCATCAGTTTTGCTGTGAACCTAAAACTGCTCTTAAAAATCAAATCTATTAGGACTTCCCTGGCAGTACAGTAGTTAGGACTCCGTGCTTCCACTGGAGGGGGTCCCAGTTCAATCCCCAGTCAGGGAAATAATACCCCACAAGCTGCATACCCCCCCTCCCCAAAAAAACAGGTTTATTAAAAAAGATGTATGGGGAATTCCCTGGTGGTCCAGTGGCTAAGACTCTGAGCTCCCAAAGCAGGGGGCCCAGATTCCATTCATAGTCAGGGAACTAGATTCCATAGGCCGAACTGAAGGTTCTGCATGTTGCAAGGAAGGCACGGCACAGTGAAATAATTTTTTTTTTAAAAAAGATGTATATAACAAGAATAACTTGGAGACAGCATGATGGAAGAAGGGCGTCAAGAGTGATTCACCAGCCAAGTGACTGGAAGAAGACTGGGGTCACAGGCGGAATGGGGAAGCTGGAAAGGAGGTCTGTTTTTAGAGGTGAGAGAGAACAAAGATGAGTTCAGCTGGGAACCAGCCAGGATGATGGTGGACATCACAGAGAACAGCCTTCAGGCACCTGAAGAACAGTCTGGGGCTCAGGTAAGAAAAGGGTAGAGCATGCAAACTGGAAACAAAAGTAAGCACTACATGTTCCTCTTTTATTTTTTTTTCCCATTTATTTTTATTAGTTGGAGCATGTTCCTCTTTTAAAGTGATAAATTGTCTTTCAAAAAGGAAAATCATTGCAACACACCGGAAATAGTCTTCCCACTTGCCACTCTGTCGCAAAGAACTCTTGCTGAGAAGGCAAGTTTATCTACAAAGGAATACAGCAGCACCAGGGGTTGTGATACACTAGTCACTTTCAACTCTGCCCAAAGTGACATCAGTCCAGATGGGAAGTCATCTGAGGGACAGAAAGAGGGAGATTTCACTTTTAAGCAAACAGTGTCCCCCTAACAAGGTTTTCTAAGTGGCACCAGGAGGTAAAGAACCCACCTGCCAATGCAGGTAGACCTAAGAGACCTGGGTTTGATCCCTGGGTCGGGAAGATGCCCTGGAGAAGGAAATGGCAACCCACTCCAGTATTCTTGCCTGGGAAATCCCATGGACAGAGGAGCCTGATGGGCTGCAGTCCATATCATCACACAGGGTATCAGACATGACTGAAGCAACTTAGCACGCATGACCCCCTATCAAGAGGAGGAAGGACAGTGTGAATGCCAAACTGCCTGACTCCCAACCTTATTCTGCCCCTTGCCTGGGGAGATTGTTTCACATCTCTGTGCCTCAGTTTTATCATCTGTGAAATGGGGATAATGGCCTGTTTCATGCATCAGCTGTAACGATCACATGAGTAAATGTGGAGCTCAGCTACTGCATCAGCTACTGTCACTGATCATTACTTTCTAGAGTTTTCTAAGACCCCTGAGGGAGAAAATGCTGAGGTCTCTTCCTGATTATCACAGAGCAACTGTGCCTTTTTAAAAATATCCCCTTCAAGTATCTGGTTTGTGAGATGGGACAGGAATATTTACAGAAGCAGAACATTTGAAGTCTATATGCTCTGAAACAGCCCACACAATGAAGTACACACCTTGGCCCTTGCCTGTGGCACAAACTTATCCACAGTTTCCTGGCACTGGCCTTGGCCCAAGAAGAATGAGATAACACATAAAGTTATTATGTGTTAATAACTGTTAATAGTGGGTAAAATGCCAAAAATAATATTCCTTAAACTAGATGCCCAAAGCACTGACTGCAATCCAAAGCATCTGACTCAGATCTGTCCACAGATTTAAGTCTGGCAAAGGTCTCACCTCAAACAGAGGTCACATTTTTTCAAGGTTTCCCAACCATCAGGGAAAAGTGCTGGCTACAAAAAGCCAGCATCGGGTCTGCACTTCCCCATAAAAGGTAAAGCTGATCTTCCGGCGTAGGAATTTTCAGCTGCACCTGGGCAGAAGCAGTCCCAATTCTCAGGGTCCGATCACCTAGAGAGCTGACAGAAAGGCTCCACATTCCCCGCTTTGAGACACTAGAATCTAGAATCTAGGGCTGTGGGAACACCTGCCTCCTCCTCAGCGGTCCCAAATGCCAGTATACAGTAAACAGGGCTGTGGTGTCAGTGAGGCAGGGGAGGATAATGATCAGTCATAGAAACCTCCTTCCTGCGTGCTGCATTCATAATTTCTGAAGAGAGCAGGTCCCTACATACAATGCCCCCTGTTCTGTTCTGCACTTTGAGCCCTTAGGGTTTGTAAGTCTGAGAGGAACCAGAGAGCATCCTTAGTCATAAAGATAAAGAGCAGGCCCTGCAGCTCCTGGGTCAGGGAGGAGGGTGAGGGGCAGGGCTGAGAGACCAAGAGAGGGACCCAGGGGACGGTGGAAGATCAGGGGGCCCACAGTGACGGCTCTACTCGCCGAGTAAGGTCTTCTGAACCAGCAGAGCACATGGTGGGGTACATTTCTCAATCAATCAAAGATTTCCCCATCAATATGGAGAAATGGGCTTGGACTTCTCTGGCGGTCCAGTGGGTAAGACTCTGAGCTCCCAATGCAGGGGCCCCGGGTTCAATCCCTGGTCAGGGGACTAGAGCCCACATGCCACAACTAAGAGTTCACAATGAACAACTATTGATTCCCACGTGTCACAATTAGAAGATCCAATGTGTCGCAATGAAAACCCAGTGCAAACAAATATTTTTTTAAAAATCTCACGTATGTGTATATATATTTTAATATCTATAATTTTGGTTTTGACATTCAATCTTTATTCTAAGTGGCATTTACTTTTCTGAATGGTGTGAGGCTTGGATCTCATTTTTTCCTAACTGGACCGATAACGGTCCCAATAAACTTTACTACAGTAAATTTAATCACACAATGAATTCCTATCTTGACAAGGGAACTAGTTCTGACTTGCTACTCCTGGTCTGAAGTAACATATTTTGATGTCCAGTTGAACAATACATTTCAGAATATATTGCCTAGTAGTACAATGTATTGATATTATCCCAGGAAAACTTTATCAATTTGTAAAAATTAAGTGACTTTAAAGTGCTGGTCTAAACTAACAGCAGGTTCATGACCTATTAGTCTTATTTAGTCACTGGAGCATCGAGCTTTGGCCTGACTTCCCAGTGATTCACACCCTACATGGAAATCTCAGACTTCGTGGAATTTCACTTGAATTTACAAATCCCTCAGCAATAACTGTCCAACACTACAATTCGATCAAGAGGCCTGAACAGCATCCTTGTGCCTTAACCAATACATGTTCTGACTCCTTCCTTGCTTTCTCTCAAAACAAGTTTTATCCTCCTGGCTGTTATCGTACAGTGTTGTAGATTCCCATCTTAAATCACTGCAGAGTGGTTCAGCTAACAAGATGACATGCCAAAAGATGATGTATTTTAATAGTGCTTCCAGGAAACTTTGTTGGCCTCTCCCACACTGGGGAAGAGGATGGGAAATCTGGGAGTCTTTTGGCTTTTTGTAATTCACTCACCTGGCACCACTCATTTCAAAGGGAAATACTGGGGTGTGATGGAAAGAATATGAGACTGGAAGTTAGGAAACCTGAGTTTTATAGTCCCCTTTCTACTTCTAAGTAGCTGCATAGCTCAGATTAAGCTATTCCCTTATTTGTAAAATTAGATTATAGGAATAGAATAGTAGAATAGTCATTACCAAATGTTCTTTCTACCATGAATGACCCTTTAAGAATCTAAAGTAAGGACCTCCCTGGTGGCCCAGTGGTTAAGACTCTGCACTTTCACTGTAGGGGGCACAGGTTAGATCCCTGGTCAGGGAACTAGGATCCCACATCCCATGCAGCCAAAAAGAGAATAAATAAATGAAAAAGTATTTTTAAAAAAGAGAATCTAAAGTAAGCTTTGGATTCTCACCTCTAGAATAATATACTCTTGTACAAGAGTATGAAATCATATGTTTTCAGGGAGTTTACAGACTCCCTAAAGCCTATCTCTGTATTCCCAGGGTCAAGATCACTGAGACCTACCACAAAGTTCTAAAAAATAACACAGAATACAACAGAAATGTATGTAGAATCAGAAAACCTTAAGCAAAGTTGAATCATTTCCAGAACTAAAAGTATCTTCTCCTCCTCAGAGACTGAGAGGAGGAAGTGGTTTCTTAGGGTAAAATAAATGAAAATGCCAATTAAGGGCTGCCCTTGATTGAGGTCTGGCTAAGCCCTTTACCTACATTCACAGAGGGCTGGCTGAGAGAACCCATTCCAGAGCCAGGCTGCCTCGTTCAAATCTCAGCTCCATCGTTTATTAATTGACTTAGGCTTTGTGCCTGTTTCTTCTTCTGTTATTGAAAAGGAAAGAAGGGAAGAAAAAAAAAAAGAAAAAATAGGGCAGACAAAAAACAATACATATCTCAAGGACTGTTAATATACATACGGTACTTGAAATCAAGCCTGCCAGACACTAAGCCCTAAATAACAATTCCACATTATAGAAATCTGGAACACATTTGCTGGGTGGTTAAGATCTTGAGCTGAAGAGTTTAAGGAAGTCATAGATATCTTGATAACTCATTTTCCCTCAGATGGAAACAGAAATCTGCTTCAGAGATTTGTTATAAATGAGCCTGCCATGTTAAAAACTCTTTTCACAAAGACTAGCACATAATCAGTGCTCAGTAAATGTCAGCTATTGTTATGAACAATTCTGGGAGGCAAGGATTATCAGTAGCTTTTTTTAGTTCTGAAGAAAGGATAAATCAGAAATTTAAGCGTTCTACTGACAGTACTTCAGTTAGTAAATGATTATCCCCAAATTCCAACTCCAACGAATCTGAAACCAGAAGTTGTAACCACTATCACACACAACCCCTTAATTTGAACAGGGCTTAGAGAACAGAAAAGCTGATTCATACCTACTAATTTTAACGGGGGGGGGGGGGGGGGGCTGTTGGTGATAAGAGTCTTTTATCCAAAATGCAGGGTATTTATTTTCCAGGGAGGTCAGTCATGACTGGCCAAAAGCCCTCATTTGCTACTCTTAGAAATGGAAGCCTGGAAAGGCTGGACCCTGGTCTCATAGATTTCAAACCCCTGGCAAGTGGTTGTTAAACCACAGCCCTCACATCAAAAGAGGAAAAAGAAGCCATTTCCCATAATAGCTGAACAAACAAACTGAGTTCTCTAAAATGCAAGTAGAGACCCTAAGGCTGAGAAAAAAGTATTATTAAGAATGCTCCAAAATGACATAGAAATGCCACAGTAGAACACAACATTAGTCTTTAAACAACAAACTTTTTTTTTTTAAACAACAAACTTCTATGCAGGCAGGAATGACGGTGTTTACGTCTGTTTCCAATAGCAAGCTCCAGGAGGCCTTCCCCTAAGTAAAATAAGAGGAAGTTCCCACCACAGCCCACTGTTGCAAGAGGAGAAGCAGACTCTCCAGTTAGTCAAGAGACCCCTGGTGAAGGGTGGTGTCACCTGAGAGTCACACCCCACTCCTCCAACACCAGTTTCCTCCCTAGTGATATAGTCACCTCGGAAATGAGAATGAAATAGACCAGTGGGAGAAACAGGGTGGTCCACTGAAATACAGGTCAGTGCTAATCACCTTTCTTCACATCTTCTATATATTTACTTCTGGGTGTATTGTATTTTTTGTCTTTTTTCAAAACAGTCCCATTAGTCAATCTTAAATCTACCATGCCTTTAAAAAAAAAGGGGGGGGGTGCGGTGCTTAGGACTAGGCATCACTGATCACTGGAAGGGATGGTGGAAACAGCAGAAGCATCTCATTCAACTGCATCCTTGGAGCTTGGTCCATCGGATGGAGTAGCCAGTTCCCCACTGTGGCTGCATTCATCCCTTCCACCCAGCCCACTTCCAGGGGCGAAGAGGGACTTTATGCATTCCCAGCCTACCCCCACTCCCATGCCCCTAGAGGTGTGGAGAAGGCTGCGGACGGAGGGAGTCAGAAGTCCACCACAGTCTAGGCCTGTTTCCACTCTCACTAGCTGGATGACTCTGCTCCCTGGGGCCTTAGTTTCCCAGCCTTAAAAAGAGAGGTTTGAAGGAGATCACATGAAAGCCTCCTGCCTGATCTAAATTTCTAAATCCATTATTCTGATACATAAACGTGTCCTGCAGAAATAGAAGCCCTTACTGGCAAGCAGGACTTGTGGTTCTACGTCCCCCTGACCCTTCCCCTCAATCCCCCGCGGACCATCTTACCCAAGTATGATACATCAGAACTGAAAAACAGGCTGTTGCTTTCCTGTGGCACCAGACCTAATAATCAGTCAAACGCGGATTTTCACTCGGGCCTTTTCCCTCAATCCCACAATCCCACGAAAAACCCCTGCCTACCCCTCCCAGTTTCTAAACTCAAAGCCACCCTTTCGTGAATTAAAAATACGCACCCCAACTCGGCCTGGTGTAAGGTGTCTCAGCACATTTCCCGCGCCCCGCCCCCCCTCCGCCGGCGTCCAGAATTCCACCTCTGCCCCACCTTCTCCCCGGAGTGTCTTTTTAGCCGGATCAATTCGATCCGTGCCCTCCCCTGGCAAACCAGCCGACCGATTCCTCTTCCCCGGCAGGAAAGGAGGCAACGCCCGGCTCCAGCCCCAGGAGACCCAAGCATCTTCCCAGCCCGCAGGGAGAGGCACCTGGGCGCAGAGGAAAGGGCCCCAAGCCTCCGCGAAGGAAAGGAAAGGGCGGCCGGCTCGTCCCTGGTCGCGGTCCCCACCCGGCGGCGCGGGGGAGGCCTTCCCGGCAGATTGCCTGTCACTTACGGGCGGCACCTCCAGGCAGAGCCGGGCAGAGCAGGGCCAGCGGGCCAGCGGGTGGCGGAGTTTGCTGACTCAAAGGCGCGGCGGCGGCGGCGAGCGCCTAGGAGCGCACACGAGCGCAGCCCCGCGCTCCCCGTGCACGTAGCGGCCCCGCGCCCGCGCTCCACGCCCGCTCTCGTGGCCACCGCACCGCCCAACCCAGGTACGGCCCCGCGGGGCCTGCCCCTCCCTGCCGCGGACCTGCAAGCTGCCCTCTGCCCCCGGGCTGGGGAGAGCTGTGCGGCCGCTCGGGGGCGCCACTTGAAAGCCACCAGGAGCTTGCAAACCCCGCCCCGCCCCCTTAGTTACTTACGGAGAAGATGGTTGAATGGGAAGAGTTATGGACCGATAATGGTACAATGTCAATGGTAGAACTTAAGTGGTGGGCATATGGGTGTTTACTGAAAAATTCTGTCAACTTTTCTGTATGTTTGAATTTTTTCACAAGACATCCTGGGGGGAAAGAAATGAGGTCTGTCAAGGTGGCCGAATCAGTAAACCGTTTTCCAAGTGACATTTTGGGTTGCATCTGACCCACTTGTTCTCGTGGAAAGCCGCAATAATCAGTTAAACCGCTAATGGGTAACTACATGAAAGAATAATAAAGGCAGTGTTTAAAAAAATCCATTGAGTAAATGTTAAAGATTTTACTGGTTTTATTCAAAGATTCATGATTAGTCGGCATCCAATTTAGCAGATAGGAAGAAGCGCTAAGGAGTTGTACAAATTTATAGGCTCTTACAGACATAAGGTGGGGAGACAAGGAAGTCATCCTAGCAAAAATCGGATTGGTTATGGCAAGATCACTTTTCTCTAGGAGAAGATAGGGGTCTATCAGAGAGACAGTCACACTGCTGACCAGGTTGATACTAAGTTCCCATTTTGTGATGTCTCAGCAGATGGCCATAATGGTAAAGAACCCAATTGCCAATTCAGAAGACATAAGAGAGCAGGTCAGATGCCTGGGTTGAAAAGGTCCCCTGGAGGAGGACATGGCAACCCACTCCAGTATTCTTGCCTGGAGAATCCCATGAGCAGGGGAGCCTGGTGGGCTACAGTCCATGGGGTAGCAAAGAGTCGGACATGACTGAAGCAACTTAGTACACCCTGTAAGTGCTCACCGTAAGTGACTCCATTCTGGGCCTATTTTCTTTCTTGTAATAGGAGTCTTGGTTCGGTTCAGTTCAGTTCAGTCGCTCAGTCGTGTCCAGCTCTTTGCGACCCGGTGAATCCCAGGACGCCAGGCCTCCCTGTCCATCACCAACTCCCGGAATTTACTCAAACTCATGCCCATCAAGTCGGTGATGCCATCCAGCCATCTCATCCTCTGTCGTCCCCTTCTCCTCCTGCCCCCAATCCCTCCCAGCATCAGGAGTCAACTGATGAGTCAACTCGTTGCATGAGGTGGCCGAAGTATTGGAGTTTCAGCTTCAGCATCAGTCCTTCCAATGAACACCCAGGACTGATCTCCTTTAGGATGGACTGGTTGGATCTCCTTGCAGTCCAAGGGACTCTCAAGAGTCTTCTCCAACACCATAGTTCAAAAGCATCAATTTTTCAGTGCTCAACTTTCCTCACAGTCCAACTCTCACATCCATACATTACCACTCAAAAAACCATAGCCTTGACTAGACAGACATTTGTTGGCAAAATAATGTCTCTGCTTTTTAATATGCTATCTAGGTTGGTCATAACTTTCCTTCCAAGGAGTAAGCGTTTTTTAATTTCATGGCTGCAATCACCATCTGCAGTAATTTTGGAGCCCAAAAAAAATAAAGTCTGACACTGTTTCCACTGTTTCCCCATCTATTTGCCATGAAGTGATGGGACCAGATGCCATGATCTTAGTTTTCTGAATGTTGAGCTTTAAGCCAACTTTTTCATTCTCCTGTTTCACTTTCATCAAGAGGCTTTTTAGTTCTTCTTCACTTTCTGCCATAAGGGTGGTGTCATCTGCATATCTGAGGTTATTGATATTTCTCCCGGCAATCTTGATTCCAGCTTGTGCTTCATCCAGCCCAGCATTTCTCATGATGTACTCTGCATATAACCTAAATAAGCAGGATGACAATATACAGCCTTGACGTACTCCTTTTCCTATTTGGAACCAGTCTGTTGTTCCATGTCCAGTTCTAACTGTTGCTTCCTGACCTGCATACAGGTTTCTCAAGAAGCAGGTCAAATAGTCTGGTATTCCCATCTCTTTCAGAATTTTCCACAGTTTATTGTGATACACACAGTCGAAGGCTTTGGCGTAATCAATAAAGCACAAATAGATGTTTTTCTGGAACTCTCTTGCTTTTTAGATGATCCAGCAGATGTTGGCCATTTGATCTTTGGTTCCTCTGCCTTTTCTAAAACCGGCTTGAACATCTGGAAGTTCACGGTTCACGTATTGCTGAAGCCTGGCTTGGAGAGTTTTGAGCATTACTTTACTAGCATGTGAGATGAGTGCAATTGTGCAGTAGTTTGAGCATTCTTTGGCATTGCCTTTCTTTGGGATTGGAATGAAAACTAACATTTCATAATTTAAACACAAATTTTCCCACTAGACACAGCCAGCCCTGTTGATCATCAGGCCATTCCAGGCTTACCTGAAAATATCCAAGTCTATATTCCACACTCAAATTGGCTTAACTTAAGAAAACTTCTAAATCTACAATGTTGTGTCTTAACACCTTGGATCCTAATGATTCATTGCTGAATCTTGGATCACTTGTATTTAATTTCCTAAAATTGCAACCCAGCTATAACACACAAGTAAATGTAAATATGATCACTTCTGAAAATCAAGTTAAATTGTCTTTTTTGATTTATTTTCCCTATGCTGCACAAAGCATTGACTAGAAAACAAAATGCAGTATGTGTCTAAGATCCTAAGAGATTCTGCAGAATTAAAATCTTTCTACGTTTATTATCAACAAGAGCACGATTTTACAATGTGGGCAGAGCATTAAAAAATAAAATAAAAAACCTTTGAAGAGTCTATAGGAGTTATTTAAATATCTGACTTCCACAGAAAGGAAGAATATGAAAAAAATTCAAAATAGAATAAAGCAATAATGGATTTTAACACACTCTATCAGGGTAGCTACTTGGTGGTGTTTCTAGTTTAAGAATTATAATATACAACCTGAATCCAGGGGACTGGGCTAAGTGACCACCACGTTTTTAGATTGTGACTTTTTGTTATACTATCAGGTAAGAAACTGGACTCTGATTCTTAAGAAATCCTAGGATGCTAATAAAATCACCATAAAATTGCTATTAAGAAGAAATCCTCTTGCCAATCCCAATCCTACCTCAACTCTGGCTTCTAGGGTCAAGTTAACTGATTCAGACCCCAACTTTATCACCTCTCACTATGTGATCCTGGGATAATGAAACTTTCTGGGCTTCGTTTTACCATCTGAAAAAAAAAAAAGAGAGATGATAATAATAGCACCAGCCTCGTAGGGTTGTTGTGGGGGTTAAGTGAAATATTTCAGGTAAAGCTCCTGAACTGCTCTAGAACATAGTAAGTGCTCAATAAATTTTTATTATTATAACTGTTATTACAACATGATCCTCTTCTCTAATTTCTTTCATCTCCAAATGCCCTTAGTTAGACATATTAAGGAAAACCAATTGTGTCCCCTACCTCTAACTCAAGAATCAATAAGAAGACAGAGTCCATCTGTCTCCTGGGAAAATTGCAAAATGCACAGACAGTAAAAATAGAATTTGCCTGGACTTGATCTTCAGCAGTTATAATTAACTGATACAATACAGTTGTTCTATACTATCCAAAATTTACATGAATGGTCCTGCCTTCTTGAGAAACACTGTCATGGTACATATTCATTCTGTAAAAAAGATGGTCTTAGCATTCATCAAACAACTAATAAAGAGATGTGAGCAAAATAATTTAAACAAATAATTTGGATTTTGATTTCTCATTTTATATCATCTTTTTTCAATAATATGAAGACATACTGATTAATGTGAATAAAAATAATTTCTCTTGACTATTGTTAATGGAAAATTAATCAGTCAATCTAAGAAAGAAATGGAAACTTTTATTAGTGCCAAATTGAGGATTATAACCTGGAAACAGCCTCTCAGGAAACTCAGAGAACTGTTCCACCCATTAGAGGTCAAAGCATAGTTACATAGGTTTTTGAGACAGAGGGCTGTACCTTAAATGACCTAATAATAGTTTGCACAACCTGTCTCTGCAAGTGCCAAGTAGTGGGTCATCATGGCACCTTACAAGATTAAGAAGGAATGTTATCTTTAAGGAGTTGTCTTCTTGGTGCTAGGAGAATGTTATTCTTTATGATTGAGTAGGCATTTTTGCTGCTGGGGGGTCTGGTCAATGTATAACGCAGATACACAATGCACAGTAGAGTGGGAAAAGAAGGCCAAAGGCCAGAGAAATTTTTTTATGTTTAAATTTTCCTTAACTTGCCTTAGAATATGAGCTTGTATTTCATCATGATCAATCTAATGTGTTTTTTCAAAATACCTCTCTTATGCATCCGTCCCCCCAAAAAAAGGCTAGAAAAAAGTTTTGAGACTGCTTACTTACTTGTAAGGTAAAGGGGTTTAGACTTCATCTACTCACTCCTCCATCTTCCTTATGTGTTTATTGACTACTGTTCTCTCAGTTAACACCCCAGACCTACTAACTTTGCCATTACCTTTGACCCACTCCCGTCCCCTGATTCACTCAGGTCCAAGTCCTATACATTTCTTCTCAGTTAGATCTTGGTGTTACCTTCTGCTTTCCCATTATCGTGTCTAAACTCTCAGCACAAAGTCCAGCAATAGCCTCCTTATTAAACTAAGCTGGACCCTGTGGGACTCTTTCCTGTAGCCTCTGTTTTTCTTGTTTGCAGGGAATAGACTCCAGCCTCCAAGACCTTCTTTGAGTTTCAAAGGGTAGATTGGAACAGTTGCTAATCAGGGAAGAGAGGAAATGCAGAGACAGGAAAAGAGATGACCTGAAGCCAGATTGAAGGAGGGCAGGCCCTGCAAACACCAAGATCCTTATTTGCAACTCCACCCTTGAACCATTGCTATAAAACTCCTCACCAAATCCTCCCAGTTTGGGTCTTTGAGGCACAAACCCTTTGTGTTCCCATTTGCCTGGCAAATCAATAAAACTATTCTTTTCTACTTCACCCAAAGCTCTGTCTCTGAGATTCGATTTGGAGCTGGTGCAGAGGCTGAGTTTTTGGCATCATTTACAGTGGCCTGATTAAGTAGTTTTCAAATATTTTTAGCAACAGGATATTTTCAGCAACAGGATATTTTCTTCACAAGAACCTCATTTATAAACTAGTGAAACCAGTATTTCGTTACTATACATTTATGAGAAGAATTCAATT